TGTTTTGGTAGGTTATACTAGTGGTTAAAGTATTATTGCATCATACTATGCAAAAATATATATATGAAGGTATATATTTTGGGGATTAGGGATAACAAAATAAGTAGAGTTCAGAATTAATAAAATTTTGAATGTGAAAGGAACGTAGCAATTAGGTCAGTGGTTCTCAATCTTAGCTGCACATGAGGATCATTCAGGGGCCTTAAAAAAAAATATCAGTGAGTAGGCCCTCAACCCCAGATATCTTGACTTAATTAATTCGGGGTGTGGCCCAAACAGCTTTGTGGTTTTAAAGTTCCCCAGGTGAATCTAATGTGCAGATAGAGCTGAAAATCATTGATCTAATCCTGCTTCCCGATTTCACAGATAAACACAATAATTCAATAGGGTAGAGAAAAGAACACAAAACTTGGCTCAAAAAATCTTAATGTGAATCTCCTCTGTACGTACCATTTATTAACCTTAAAAAGTTGCTTATCCTGTCAGTGCCTCAGCTCCTTCAACAGTAATGGAGAATAACAATAGATACCATCTTCATCGATTAAGAGAGCTTTTTCCCTTGTGGAAACAAAGAAATTGATTATCAATGGGGATGAATAACTTACCCAAGTTATACCTTGGTAAACCAAGAGTGTTGTGGGAGTAATTTAAGGATGTAATTTAGCTCTTTCCCTTCACTTCTACCACTCACTGGACCATGTTGCCTCAGTGCTTCTTGTCTGAAGCCATAACTATTTAATAATTTGTTAAAACAGCAACTATAATTCAAACTTTTTAGTTCTATCATTCCCTCTTTTAATATTGCTAAAAATGAGATACAGGCTTCATACTCACGTATAACTAAAGTAATTATCAAGGTGTTGATTGGGATACAACATTTTTTATGGTTAAAGAGGAAAAACTAGAAAGTGGGCCCTCAGCTGATACAGGGAGAGGACAAGGGAGTGAACTATCATTTTGGCACACCCAGTGTTTCTTTAAATACTTAAAAATAGGTGGGGCAGGATGGCTCAGGCCTGCTATCCCAGCACTTTGGGAGGCTGAGGTGGGAGGACTGCTTGAGACCAGGAGTTCAAGACCACACTGGGCAATAGTGAAACCTCATCTGTACAAAAAAAATATTATAAAAATTAGCCTAGTGTGGTGGTGCTAGTCCCAGCTACTCAGGAAGCTGAGGGAGGAGAATCCCTTGAGCCCCAGGAGTCTGAAGTTGCAGTGAGCTATGATGACACCATGGCACTCTAGCCCAGGCAACACAGTGAGACCCTATCTCAAAAAAAATAAAAACCTTAGTGCATGCAACTAAGGTTACCAAAAATACTTACACATGAAAGTTGTTTTCATTGAATTTTCTAGTTTTGAGAGTCTCAATCTTAATTGTTAAGATTAAAGAACATTTGAAACTTTATTATACTATATACCAGTCATTATGCTAGGAACTAAGGATTCAAAAATGAAAAGGACATGAAACCTGTCTCACAGAGCTTATAAACACATAGATAGAATATCAAGGGAGGGCTAATTCTTCTGCCTCAATTAGTAGTTTCAGTTGGAAACTGAAGTTAGTAATTTTTCTAAAGATACACTTTATTATAGATTCTTATTTACCCTTTATTTCTACTGTGAATAGATTTCCTGGGGCTCTATCCCTTCTTTAAACCAGATAGAGCTCAATTCTGGGTAAGTCTAGCCAGGGTTCAAAATGATAAATGGGATGAAATCATTACCAAACAAGTATACGGTCCAACCACCCTTGCCATGTGGTTAGAATTGTCTTTGGCACTGGATGGGATAAAAAGAAATATATGACAGGGTTTTACAGAATGCGTGATTTTTCAGAGCTATAAGAATTTGGAAATAGGGGTGAACAGTGTGGGTTACTATTGTTAGAGAAGACATTCATTTTATTTTAAAAACAAGAAGTCTAAGCCATTTTTTACAAGTAAATATTTTTCTTATTAGATAGTATTTTAATCAGGAATATTACAACCATATTATATGTGAACAGATTAGAAATTATAAAATGAAATTTTCTAGAAAGTCTGGTTTATAGGTAAGTTGGAGAAATCTCATTTATAGGCATTGAGAATTACTTTTTTTTAGCAAGAGGGTCTCACTCTCTTGCCCAGGGTAGAGTGCAGTGGCTTGGTCACGGCTCACTATAACCTCCAACTCCTGGGCTCAAGTAATCCTCCCAACTCAACCTCCCGAGTAGCTGGGATTACAGGCATGCACTACCGAGCCCAGCCAATTTTTTAATTTCTTGTAGATAGGGTCTTGCTGTGTTGCCCAGGCTGGTCTTGAACTCCTACCTCAAGTGATCTTCCTGCCTTGGCCTCCCGAAGTGCTTGGATTATAGGCAAAGCTCTGTGAGTGAAAAAGCAGAGATCAATTTTTCTACAGCTGGCTGTTAGAGTTTTTATTTGTTGGATATTTAAAACAGTGAAAGAGTGCAAACAGAGAAATGAAGTATTTTGCTTCACAAACACAAATTTTAGTTTATCTGTAAAATATTTCACAGAGTGGAAATAATATTTTTAAAATTAAATGTTTCTCTGTCTAGCACTCTGGGAGGCTGAAGTGGGAGGATTGCTTGAGCTCAGGAGTTGGAGACCAGCCTGAGCAAGAGCAGGACCCCATCTCTACTAAAAATAGAAAAAATCAGCCGGGTAATGTGGCACCTGTAGTCCCAGTTCCTTGGGAGGCTGAGGCAGGAGGATGGCTTGAGCCCAGGAGTTTGAGGTTGCTGTCAGCTAGGCTGATGCCATGGTACTCTACTCAGGGCAACAGACTGAGACTCTGTAAAAAAAATAAATAAATAAGTGTTACTTTGTTAAAATTGTTAATTGTTTCAAGAAGGAATCAAGAAAATAAAATGTTGCATCTGTGGTATGATTAGTAATTGCCTAAATTATTACCATTTGCAGATGTTTTGGTTTTATTAAAATACACTTTTTTTTACTGGCATGATTAACAGTTTCATTGTGTGTTTATTTTCTGGTCATAATTTTTTTTTTTTTTTGAGACAGAGTCTCACTCTGTTGCCCTGGCTAGAGTGAGTGCCGTGGTATCAGCCTAGCTCACAGCAACCTCAAACTCCTAGGCTCAAGCGATCCTTCTGCCTCAGCCTCCCGAGTAGCTGGGACTACAGGCCCGGGCCACCATGCCCGGCTAATTTTTCTATGTATTTTTAGTTGTCCGATTAATTTCTTTCTAATATTTAGTAGAGACGGGGTCTCGCTCTTGCTCAGGCTGGTCTCGAACTCCTGAGCTCAAACAATCCACCCACCTCAGCCTCCCAGAGTGTTAGGATTACAGGCATGAGCCACCGTGCCCGGCCTATTATTTTTGTTATTATTATTATATAATTACATAATGATCACTCATCCAATACTCTAAGATATGCTACTGTATGAAGCTTGTCAGGTAACCCATTACTTCAAATGTCCAGATTGAAAAAAAAAAGTTTTTCCTTTTTTGTCTTATCTGTGGTATAAAAGGCATTCATTCATTCAAATAACGATTGAATTTCTGATACCCACATGCTGTCTTATAGTCACTTGTGTCCCTGCCTTCATTATGCTTGTATTCTGGTGGAATATAAATGGAAAATGGCTTTAGAAAATAAATTTCTTAGCCCTAGCACAGTGCCAGTGCCAGGAAGATGCTAGTGCTTCCTATTGCATCTGTATTTAATTATATCACACCTTCCATTGAAAAATAAATCGAAGCGCAGCAGGTCGATCTCCCATCTACTTCGTAAAACTGGAATCTGTTCTGAGAAAAGTATAACACTGGAAAAGAAGAAAATACAATACTTGCTTCTATTTGGCACATATCAAAAAATTCTTCCTACAAATATAACAATTATTAATGGCAACTTACAGTTAAAAAGCATTTTAAGAAATACTGTAAATGAGCCAACAACTGTATGAGGTAGACAGGGAGATGGCATAATTTTTGGGTTAAGAGGATGGGCTGTAGATTAATGATTTAATTCCAGTTCTCTGACCATCAAAAAATTACTTAACCTCTCCGACCCTCAGTTTCCTTATGTGTAAAATGTTAATACTCAAAGCTAATTCATATGGTTGCAGTGCAGATTAAAATATGTAAAGTATTTAAGACAGCGTTTGCCATAACACTCAATAAACGGTGACTATTTTCATTAGTGACATTATCACTCTTCATGATTTACAGATAAAGAAATTGAGGTTCACAAAGATGGAGACATAAGGATTCACAGCTATAAAATGGAGGGGTGACACTTGATTTTCAATCTTCTGGCTCCAAATCCTATCAGTTTTATGACAGTGCATCCTAAAGTAGATAGTAAATTAGATCATGGTTACAATATTAATAAGTTTATTTCAGGCTGAATTTTATAAAGTTATCATTTAACCTATCTACCACTATCAAATTTTCTTAAATTGTGACATAAAAATAGTATGTTATCATATGCTGTTATAGCATCTTCCTTTTTTGAAAAAAACGACTTCCTGTTTTTTTCTCCACTTGATATTTAAGCTTTTACGTTATTTTAAGTCTAACTTCATTACTAACCATTTGATACAAAAAGGTTTCCTAAAGCCTTCCATAAATATTGTATTATTTAATCTTCAAGTGGGGTGAAGTAAGCAAGGTCAGTTTACATAGGAGATAAACTCAGCAAGGTTTAGTGCCCAGATCCTGGCCATAGAAGTAGTTTTTCTGATTCTAAATCCTATGCTAATACCATCTAGGTTTCTTAAAGATAAGAATGGGTGGGTGGGTGAGAAACTACTATTAATCATACTGAAAGGAGGTGATATTTAAATATGAAAAGTTACCGTCTTCTAAAAAGTTGAAAACGCAGCAAGGCACAGGAATTATTAATAATACTGTAATTTTTCATAAACGTGGGTTAGTCCCGACAAGACATATACATAAGGCTCAAACACTTAAAAGAAGGGCTTCAGAGTAAACTCGAGCCCCGTAAAAGCGCTGGACTGGCTGGCAGAGTCCACACGAAACACTGGCCTCTCACGTGTCTTTCAGGAAACACAGACCTTGAGGGATAAAAGAAGCCAAGAAGAGGTTGGGGAAAAAGTAAGAATAAGTAAGCGAATAAATCTTCCCCCGGAGACTGAGGGCGCGCAAAGGCTGAGACCGGCTGGAGGGAACACGCAGAGCATCTGGCGGGCACCGACGTCTGAGAACAGGCCTGGAAGCTGCTCGGTTCGTCGTGAGAGCGTGCTGCCCGTGGGGCCAACACTGTGGAGCCCTCCCAGTGGATTTGCTCCCCTGGTTCGGGTGGGGAGGGAAAGAATAGAGCGCAAATGAGAAAAGCAGGCAAGGAAGGAAACTCTGGAGGAGCCACAGGTGGGATCAGGTTAGACTCCGAGATTCGCGGGCTCTGGGCGGGCCGCATCTGCGAGCCCTCCGAGACGCCGTAGACCCCGCCCCCTCCGGCGCGGGGCGCCCATGATGCTAGGCGCGCGAGCGGCTCTTCTTACAGAGGTCGCTCTTGTCCGAACGGTCGGCCTCTGCTGCGCCTGCGTGGTCGGGAGGGGAAGTGAGGCGGTTTCCTCGGCGCCTTTTCCGGCAGCGGCGGCGGCAGAACTGCGAGGAGGAGGTGGAGGCCGGAGGGAGCCCGCGCTCGGGGCGGCGGCTGGAGGTAACCTCCTGGGCCGAGCTGGAAAGGCGTGTCTCCTCGGCCTCCGCTCCCCTGTGGGGCTCCGACAGTAACTCCCTTCTCCCTCTCTGTGTCTCTGCAGGCAGCGCACCGAGTTACTGCGAGGATCAATGACCTGACGGGGCGCCGGAGCCGCGCTGCCTTTCGGGTGTCCTGGGTCGGTGGTGAGCCGGAGTTCGCGGACCGGCGGACGGGCCGGAGGGCCGCAGTGTCCCGCGGCGGGGTGAAGAAGAAGGTGGAGAAGCGGGAACCGCGGCGGCGTTCGCGCGGCGCCTGCGGGGGGAAGGGCAGTTCCGGGCCGGGCCGCGCCTCAGCAGGGCGGCGGCTCTCCCGGCGCAGACTCAGGGCCCCGGCGGCAGCGGCGACTGGAGGAATCAAGTTGTGCGGTCAGTGATGCCCGAGTGAGCGGCCGGCCCGGGACTCTGCCCCTGAGAGGCAACTCCCACGCAGGCCGCACGGGCGCCCTCGCGGCAGGGAGGCTTCGTTTCGGTTTCGCGGCGGCGGCGGCGTTGTTGCCTGAGGGGAACCGGGACACCTGAATGCCCTCGGCCCCGGCTACTCCGACGCGATGGGGAAGGTGCTATCCAAAATCTTCGGGAACAAGGAAATGCGGATCCTCATGTTGGGCCTGGACGCGGCCGGCAAGACAACAATCCTGTACAAGTTGAAGCTGGGCCAGTCGGTGACCACCATTCCCACCGTGGGTTTCAACGTGGAGACGGTGACTTACGAAAACGTCAAGTTCAACGTGTGGGATGTGGGCGGCCAGGACAAGATCCGGCCGCTCTGGCGGCATTACTACACCGGGACCCAGGGTCTGATCTTCGTAGTGGACTGTGCCGACCGCGACCGCATCGACGAGGCCCGCCAGGAGCTGCACCGCATTATCAATGACCGGGAGATGAGGGACGCCATAATCCTCATCTTCGCCAACAAGCAGGACCTGCCTGATGCCATGAAACCCCACGAGATCCAGGAGAAACTGGGCCTGACCCGGATTCGGGACAGGAACTGGTATGTGCAGCCCTCCTGTGCCACCTCAGGGGATGGACTCTATGAGGGGCTCACATGGTTAACCTCTAACTACAAATCCTAATGAGCATTCTCCACCCATCCCCTGGAAGGAGAGAAATCAAAAACCCATTCATAGGATTATCGCCACCATCACCTCTTTGAATTGCCACTTTTCTCTTTTGAATTTGAACTCTGGAGTTACTGTTCTACGGTTTGGGGGATGGCTGGGGGTTTTCTTTTTTGTTTCTTTTTCCCTTTTTTTTTTTCCTTTGCGTTAGGATGCTCTGATCTGACATTTGACATGAACACGAAATGCTAGATGCTCTTGTTAACTTCCAGCAAATGGGATGGGGGAAATATAGCAGTTCTTGGTAAAGTCCTTTGTAATAATGGTTTGATTTTTTTTTTTTTTATTTTGAGAAAATCTTTTTTTCCCCAATGTATGATGCTTTTTCCTTTTTGCCCAGTTTTCTTATCACTTGCTGTAGATGGCTTATTTTGCATTCATGCAGACTGTGTTGCAAGTCTGTTTCATCTAGTAAACTGAAAATTATTGCTTAATCAAACTGCCGTTTGTCTTTTATGTTTAAGGCCTTTCCTCCCTCCCTTATGAGTTCTAACTTTAACTTAGTAATTTCAAATGTGACCTTTTATATCTAAGACCAGTACAGTAAACTCAGCCCACAGTGGCAAATAATGAGTAACATCATTGTAATATGTTCCAGTTGCACATCAGTATGTTAAACAGGTAACGTAAGAAGTTCTTTACAATGTCAGCAATTAAGTTCTGAAACGTACATCGTGCATGAGTAGGAATAAAACCCAAGTTCCCCCAACATAGCTAACTTACGCTGCATAAAAATTTGAAAGTGTAACCCATCAAGGACATAGATTTTTTTTTTTCACTGCAAAGTTAGTCTGCTGTTTTTCCTTCTTTTTTAACTTTAAAAATAGACTCTTTCCAGAAATTGGAGCAATAATGGTGTATGCCACACACAAATAAAATGTTTGTAGATATTTTAAGTGACTTTTGGGCAAAACTGGAATGTATACTTTTACCTTGTTTCAAATGTCTAAGACCAGTAGTTTTAAAATTACTAAACCATTTACTTTGTTAATAAAGCATTAGCATTTAACAATTCAAATTATATGCACCTTTAACCTAGTTGAAAAAATACACATTTCCTGTTTTCACAGCAACTGATTAAGCTGAAGATCCAAGTCATTTTTCATAGATGAGTGATCCACATCTCCATTAATTAGAACACTGGAAAAGATGTTTTATAAAAGAGATATTTAATTTTGTTTATAGGATTAACTCATGCAAATAGATACCTGTTGGTTCAGTAGTACACTGTCTCCTTTAAAGAAGGAAATGTGATGAATGAATGATGTGTAGACTTGAGGGATGACAAAGGGGGAAGTAGGATGAAGAGAAGGAACCTACAGATGACAATGAATGTAAACTTACTTTTCTTCAAGGGTAAGCAGTGTGCTCACTGGTGATATCCAGATCCTAACAAGATTACTTGGTTAGCTGGTTAGGACCAGTAACTAGATTGAGACCACTTATGAAGATATTTTGAACCAAATGTTAATGCTTGATCACAAAATTGTGAAGCAGCATGTGGTTCTTATATAGCCTTAAGGATTAATTTTAGCGATCCTCAAGGAATTAAACTTAGGGAATTTCAGAAATGTAGACTGCAAAGGCGCAGTATACAGGAAAAGGTGGAGTGGGTTTTGTTTATGAGGGTGTCTGAAAACTAAAATTGAGCGGGATATCAAGGTATAGTTGGACAGTATTGGTCCTTCAAGCTTTGGCCATATTGTATAATGGAGCTCTTACCAAAGACGTATAAGACGAATAAGGCTATTAAAAAAAACTATTCAAGGTAAAAGTCTTGACAAATATTCTACTTAAAGCAGATGAGAAAAGGTGCTACGTTGCAGGCTCCTACTGGTGCAGAGGGATTTTTTTTATTTCAAGATGCAACTAAAGTATAAATTTCTGTTTCACTTTAGTAGAATCTCTAGAAATGAGGCTGATAAATATAGCTAAGAACATTTTGGTTGCTTTTTAAAATTCCCAAAGCTCCACCATAAATGTAATTCTTAGTGTTTTAAATAATTACATTTTAAGGTACATAAACATGGGTTATCCAAATATCAATGCTATAGTAACATCCTAAAACAAAACAAGCACAAAGGTATAAATATGCCTAAACTGGAGGAAACTTGAAACCCTCATGTTAATTCTTAAATGTAGTATTTCTAACTTGTGAAGACAGATTGGTAGGCAGCCATTTTTTGTGTGTCTTAAAATAACTGGGGGCATAGTTAAAATTTTATACATCAAGTGATTGATATTATTGAATGTTGCAGGTGAGATGTTATTTTGGTTTATTTGAAATGTCTGAAAAAAGGGGGGAGGGGGAAGCAAATATTTGAAATTTGGAAAACCCTAAACCTTTTGGTAAGAAATTGTAATTTTCATTTACATTTTCTTTAAGGATATAAAAAGTTTATAATTGATGTAGTTAAATTGAACCATAATCATTGGTGATTATGGAGCAGGTAATTATCGCCTGCAGAAAAAGTTATAATTTAAGAATTTAAAAAATAAGATCCTGAAATTTTTGTTTAATTGCATCAATTTCTGTATTTATGTGAATTTATAAACTGCAGTAAGTTTTGAATGAGGTTAATCTTGTTTAATATAAGTAAATGAGTCTGTAGACTGTGATCTCCCCAAACTAAAAAGTACAGTACTTGGAATTGTGTTCTTTATGGTTGTAGTGTTGGTAAAGCACTAATATGCAGAAAATAAAGGAATTACACAGTGCAGTTTCTCACGTTATGTTACTCACTTGAACTAGATAAATGGGATGTGTGGTGTGTTGGGCCATGTTACTCTCCAGGGTATATGGTAAAAAGTCACAATTTGGAAGTCACTTGACTTTTATAAACACAAAAAAGAGAGTGTTTGGTTCTTGTAAATGCTGGCTGTTTAAGGAGGTTTGCCCTGTTTTAGTTCCACCAAATTTAATCTGATTTTATAATTTAGAACAGAAAAACAGTAGAAAATAATTTTTAAAAATTGGAAGGTCCTATAGCAGTCTTTATTCTACTGTTTTTCCAAATCACAACCTCAGCATTTTTAGTACAGAGTTGTATCTAAAGAATTGGCCTTAAATTTTAACCCTTGACAATAGACTTCGATTTTAAAAGTTTCTTTTAGAGGTCAAAGTTGCTTTGTCAGATAAAAATGGCAGAATTGTAGTCACTTAGCAAAATAGTAGATAAAGAATAACTTGTTGGATAAATGGGTTTTTTAAACACATTTTTGTAAGCATTCCTTCCTATATCAGCTATTTTTATAATTTGGTTTTAGAATGTCTTATTGTTATCTGTAGTATGATTTAACCCCCATGTTAATATATATTAGTGTATTTAGTAATATGGTTTATTAAGATAATTATCAATTTGTCAGTGATAACAGTAGAAAATATTTCCCTCTTTAGTTTTTATGCTTTAATAAGCTTAGAAATAGAGTAACCATGATCTGAATGGTAATGGAGCTTTTTAAATTCTCAGTCATTTCCTAGATACCTTGGCAATCAGGGTTATAAGTAAGGCAAGTCTTATCTCTTTCCATAAAGGTAAAAATTGTATTCTAAAATCATATATAGCAATTATAAATTACTTTTAAGTCTAATCACTGAGCATAATGTATAACATTCAATAGAATCTAGCTTTTTGCTTTGTGTAATTAAATGGTAGAGACTAAGTAGTAAAGATTATAGTATTAGGAAGTTTATAAACATGGAATGTTGGGAGATGGAGCCATAGAAGAGGCAAAGCAACTTCTCCCTGCTGTGCCAAACTTAAAGTTGCCGGACTAGATTAGTGAGTTGAACTGGCAGAGACTGCATAGATGAGATCAAACAAGGCAGAACAGGTTTGTAGAGGGATTTAGGAATTACAATTGAAATTTGTTACTAAATTAGCTCAAGTAATGGTAAACTTCATGAGAATTAAACTATAAGAACTAACCTCATTTTGTGGAACGGTAAGAAAATGCTTTAATTTTTAACCTTTTTTTCTTTAAAGTGTTTTATGACTACTTGAAGTAATTTAAAAACGAAAGTATTTGTCAATCGTGTCCCTGAATGTCTTTTCATTTGCTGGAGAACATATATTTCCTCCATAGTATTTGTATTCTAAGTGTGAGGGTAGGTTTATTTGTTGAGAGCCTACTAATATGCCTGGCATGGTTTATGGGCAGGAGATACATCAGTGAAAAAACAAAATATCTGCCTTCATGGAACTCACATGGGGTGGGGAGAGAGAACAAAGATCAGATGATAAGTAAAAATCTGTTAGGTGATACAATATATATTATACAGTGTGTTACAGAGGAACAGGTAGGAACATGTTCAGAGAAGGCTTCATTGAGAAGGTGGCATGAACAAATATTTGAAGGAAGGAAATATTAATATTGGTATAATTGACATAGTAACAAAAAGATAACATGTATAGTGTAGAGCTGGGGTGGGAAAACTATGGCCAAGGGCAAATCTGGCTGAAGCCTGTTTTTATAGAAGCTGTGCTAAGAGTAGTTTTTACATTTTTAAAGGATTTTTAAAGATTGTAAGGAAAAAATACCATGAATTATTTGACAAAGATAGTATGTGGCCTGAAAAGCCTAAAGTATTTACTATCTGGCCCTTTGTTAACCCCGAGTCTAAAGCCCAGTTTTTAAAACATTATCCAAATATACCAGGATCAAAGAAATCTGTACCAATAACTAAAATAGTAAAACAAAACAAAAAAACTATCAAAATACATAGGAAATCCAACAATTTAAAGCAAAAAACCATTGTTTAATGAATGAGCCTACTCAAAATTTTCGGGAACAGTGGCATAGAGAATTTACCACATTCACACATTTAGCAAGCCCTGAGATTTGCTATTGAGTAGTCTAACCTGGAATTTTTTTTTTCTGAATATGTTCAAATGTGTGAAATTAGTAGTTTCTTGGTTTGAGTTTTAACATCATTCTTTAAAAACATCATTTGTGAATCATTTCATTTTAAATATTTCACTTATAGTAGTTTTACTGGTCTTAGGATTTAATTTAAATATGCTTCTCTGTTAAAGTGCCCTTTCCTCCAGATAACCTAGTTTAGTTTGGAGTATGTTCAGATAACATCATTTAACTGTGGCTTTTATTCACTTGCTAGTACTGTAATCAAGTCTTGAGTCCAGTATTTTATATTAAGAAACTTTGGGGGGTGGGGGTAGGAAAAAAAAAAGAAACTTTGTAAAAGAAAGTGTTTTATTGACTTAGAAACTAAGATATGGTATGATATTTGATTTATTCCAATATTATTATTCTCTAACCATTATAAACTAGAAAAATAATTTACTTCACACATGAATTATTTCTTGCCTGGAGAGTGCTATACTAATGTAGTAGGATGTGGAAGCTATTACTATTTTTTGTTTTTTATCCTCACTACACCCCCCATCCCAGTAACTTTTAAAAGAGAAACTAAACAAAGTAATTTATCAGGACTTACTGGAAGTAAGTTTTATGGGGGACATTTAGAAATGAGCTTTAAAGAAATGAAAACACTTGTAGTTAATAGAAAGACCTATGTGAAATTGGTTATTTATGACCATAAAAGCTGTTTTCCATTACAGCTGAATAGACTAGCTTGAGAAGGTCATAGCATATGAGAGGGTAAGCAAAACAAAACCAAATTTGTGTAGTTATAGAAGCAAACATTTGGATCTTTAAAGTTTGTTATAATATGGTAAACCAAAGTGCTTTAGATCCCCGTATCTTTATTTAAATAGAAGGTCTTGCTCTGTTGCCTAAGCTGGAGTGCAGTATCATGGTCATAGCTCACTGCAGCCTCGAGCTCCTGGGCTCAAGTGATTCTCCCACCTCAGCCTCACAAATAGCTGGGATTACAGGCTCATGCTATCATGCCTGGCTAATTTTTTAAAAAATTTATTTGTAGAAATAGGGGTCTTGCTGTGTTGCTCAGGGTGGTCTCAAACTCCTGGGCTCCAGTGATCCTTCTGCTTTGGCCTCCCAAAGTGCTGGAATTACAGGCGTGAGCCACTGAGTGCTGCCCATATCTTTGTTTTTAAAAGTTAGTTTTATGAATAAGTCCTAGGTTGGAGTTAGGCCTAAGGAGATCAAATTGGGAAATACTCTAAGAATAATACTTGGCACTTATTGAATGTTTGCCATGTGTCAGGCATTGTTCTAATCACTGAATGGGTATTAATTCTCTAAATCCTTACAACCACCTTGGGAGATAGAGTTCCC